ACACACACACACACACACACACACACACACACACACACACACACACACAAGCTGTTCTTGGAATAATCTTCAATCAATCTCCAAAAGCCTCTAAATAGATCCTGTAGTGTGTGCATGTGCTGATGGGGTGTGCAGATGAGCATGCATGAGTGCAGTTTCATGTTATGATACAGTATGAGTGCTATGTGTCTGTCTCAAGTTACACTGCACAACAACCTGCAGGATGTGAGCATACGTGCCACTCAGCATGTTATGTAGTCCATGATGTTCAACACGGGCTCGGGTTATTTGTGGAAAGTTGTGTTGAGTGAGCGTCATTCACTTTCTGAATTTGTCAAAAGGCCACTTCATTATGTTCTGTTAAAACAATGCTCCCCTTTCAACAGCCTTATAAAGTTTTTATTGTTACTTGATTTTAATTGACAATATATATAATAATTACTTCTACTAACAAGGTGAGAACTTCTACTAAGTGACTGCTAAACACAAAATCCTGCTCAGAATTATTGGCACCCTTGAATTTAAATCAGAAATGATTGCAAATTAAATTTTCATTTAAAAGGATTATTTTAATAAAATATGAAATTTTGCTCAATAAAATAAAAAAACATGCATAACACAATTCTTGGCAACCTTGGTAGGAGATCTTTCGGCAAGAATGAAAACATTTCAGCCCTGTCAGATAAAACTCTTTTACACAAATTAAATTGGAATATACAGATGGTAAAAACGTGGGTAAACCAGATCCGAAATGGTGATTGCCTCCTTTCTAATTTCCAGCAGAGAAGTTTACATTCTGATTTTTTTTCTCTGTTCAATGTCTGAAGATTGAGGCACTCTCTCATCTCACTGTCTTGCAAAATTAGAGTGTTTACCTGGGTGTCACTTTTCCCACACTGCTGATCAGAGCCAGAGCCAGTTGGAACCTGTTTATACTGCAGAGTCATTTGACCCAAGAGTAAATCCTGATTGTCTCCATTCCCATTGCAGACAAAAGGCAGATGTTAATGGGTGTTAATGGGTTTTTTTGACCAGTGGAAAAGGAGCTGTAGTTTCTGCTATGCTTCCAGTGCTATGCGTTCAAGGTCTTTAGGGTTTGCATGAGTCTTTTTTCCAATGACATACAGGTCAGGACTCATAATGGTGGCCTTTCATCTTCTCCCTTTCAACTGTTCCTTCAGGTTGTTGTCCTGCTGAAAGACCAAGAACCTTGACCTCCAACCTAGTGTTCTGATATTTTCACCAAGAATGCCTTGGTTATCTTCTGATTTCATCATTCTTTGTTATATTCAGTGTCTCCAGTATCAGAGGCAGCAAAGCAGCCCCACAGCTTGATAAACCTCGCCCATGTTTTGCTGTAGGTTGGGTGAGTTTCTTTTCATCGTCTGTGGAAAAGCGTATGCAGTGTGTTCCCAAAGAGCTCCACTTTGGTTTCACAAGGTTTGGTTTCACATGTCCATAGAACATTATCCCCGAAAGACTGTGGCTGATCTAGGGCAGTTTTTGTGCCTATTTCAGTGGTATGTGATGTGTGTGATGTATGGTACGAGCTGAACCCACTACTTCATATGCTCCAGGTCTGTAGAAGCCTTGAGTGGTGTTTTTCTACAATCTGCACAAACGTTGGAAAAATTCTCTCATTAACTTTCTTCTTAGCACCATGTCAGTCGCACCTTCACATATATATTATTTTTGTGGATGTTTGTCAGGGTCCTGTCTTTGTCTTCTTTTACTTGACCTAAACCAAATTCCCTAAAGGATCAATTAAAGTTGTAATGTATTGTAATGTTAGGTATTGTTTTGTACTTCTTAATAAAATGGGAACTGTTGAAGCAGGGATTTCAAGATCTTAGCCAATTGTCTTTTAGCCTAGAGAATTGTTCAATCTGTCACAACTACAACGAATCAGCTCCTTATTAATCCAAAAAAACAAAACCATCATCCTTTGGTTAATTCACATCATGCAACATTAAGCACACATTTATTTTGTCAATAATTGTGTCCATTGGAAATGTCTATATGTTTTATTCAGCTCGATGAAAGCATTTTTTTTTATATAACATTGGTTCATTTGCACTTTTTAAATGTATTATTCAGTTTTATGGACTTAAAATCAGGAGTGCCATTACTCCTGAACTACAGCACTGTAAGTAATGATCACATTGCAGGTGTGAGGGGTTGGTTTTCACTGGTGACAGCCGCACCCACAAGCTCAGCATTTGAGTTGTGACGTGTGAACTGAACCACAGTAAAGAAATGTGAATGTATGGGAAGATGTTAAGATAACAGGAACAACCCCTCTATGTTTAAGGCAAGTACTGAAACTGCATCATCATTTCTTGTTCACCCACCAGTGATTGATTTTTATTGTTGACTCAGGCCTGGTGACATTTTCAGTTGTTTTAATTCTGCTCTACCTGATTTTTAAAAGAGTCCTAGGGCTCCTCATAATCCTATGTGCCGTTGTTGGTTTTTAATCTTTTGTTTTATATTTATATTTTTGGTGGGGATTAAAACAGCACTAGATTTTTATAGTTCTTAATTAGCTGAAACACCTTGGTCCAGACATGCAGGCAGACAGGTTGACAGACAGGTACATCAGCCAATCATTTCATTCAGTCCAAATTAATTCATTTGTGACGGTCACAGACAGTGTCTTTTTTCTTTTTTCTCCCAGACAACTGTGTTTATTGGGACATGGATTTGAACAGATATATTAAGTGTTCCAGAGACAACTTTCCAGCCCTGACTTAAATCGATTTTTTTAAATAATTCATGTCAAGTAAAAGTTAGACAGAACCTTAAGCTGCAGTTTGCTGTTAGAGCCAAATTTAAGTTTGTGGCTGTAAAGGATGTAGTCACACAAGCCAACGAATGCAATAATGAAGATATAATAAGAGGATAAATAAGAAAGGCCTGAATCCTTCTACTCAATCCATGAGTCTTTAATGTTCTTCACTTGGTATTTGACCCGATGACGTCATGTCAAAGTCTCCAAATATTTCGCCCAACAGGTAACTTTCTCTATGGAAGGACGCAGTTCATTGTGCATCACATACATTTTTTTTGTATTCACCAACACGCTCACCCTGTCCCCCCACTGCTGCCACATCAAGTCGAGCCGTGGGCCCGGAAGCTCTCCATCTCTCGTACATTTTTCTCCCAGAAACTTTGCTGGCTGGGCTACGACCTCAGATTACCGCAAAAGCAAACGAATAGGCTGCTTGGAGAAATCTGTGGGCATGTTTTTTTGTCCTGCTTTTCATTTAGACAACAAGAACCCTACTGTCCTGAAAAGGGGGGCAGACGACCGATCGTTATGTAACACAGGGAAATGTGATGCATCTGCTGATATGTTGGAAATTCTCTCTGGACCAGACACGAGCCTCCAACAAGGCTCACTTGTACCCGTATCATGCCAAAGGAAGAGAAAAACACCAAACTTCAGCTCTGAGACAAAACGCTTCTTTATAATTGCTGTCTGTTCCTATTTATGCCATTAACTGCTGTGCTTATCAAGTTCAATTTGAAGCAAAGGAAAAACACCTTGTTACAGTCGTTGGCAGACAGAGAAATTCTATGTAAGTCATGCCAACAGTTTACAACAGTAACTGTGACTAATTACTATTCTAAATAAAATGGTGACTCAAACAAGACAAAGAGAAATATTTGGAAACATCTGCAATGGCCTGGGGCTCACAAAAGAATCAGAAAAGAACCACAGCTAGTGCCATATTCATGCCACAGGCAACCTTTAGCATGGGACATGTAGCTTCTTTCTCATGTCCTGACCTCAGAAAGGTCAATTAGCACATTGAAGGACACTCAACAAGTCAGATGATTGGCTCAGTCCTGAGGGATGCTGCTTGAGGGGGGGTCGATCTCTCCTGAGGCCTTTGAGGGGTTGTCTCTTTTATTGCTCTCCTTTCAGCAGCAATACGTGACCCAGTTAAGAGCCCAGTTGGAATGTAAGGGGGCCCAGGGCACAGGGCATCATTTACCCAGGCAGCAGCTTATGTAACAGGAGTCATGTGAGTGCCATTGTGTATACTGTGGGAAGTCAGGCCTCGTCAGGTAACGGCACTATGCAAACACCACTCTATTATGCAACAAGCCTGTTTATGCATTGCGACATACAGAAGCACGTATACACAAACCACACAAAACAGCATGGACTCTAACTTAACCCGACCTCGAAACATCTCTTCACCTCAAAATAATAATAATCGACATGAAGAAGCCAAGTTACCATAATTTCCGTGTGTAAACAAATTTAGGTCCCCACAAAACTGAGTAATACTTGGACCACATATGCATGCACGTGCGTGCACACATGCACAGACACATGCAGCATCCTGCAAAGATGAAATAAAGCAGGAGCTCTCTCCGCTCTCTTAACGCTTGCTGTGAGGTTTGCAAAGAGTTAGCGTTGCTGTAGCAACCCCTGGCAGCCTGTCGGTGGGGAGGCGATGACGTACTTGGCTGCACAGCTTGGACGTCTACCAGCAGACTGCTGGTCCTCTTCCTCTCTGACTTCCTTTTGTCCTCTCTATCTATGCCTCAAACACACTTTTTCACCACCAACTCAAAATGTCACAAAGTTCAAACATGTCAGGATGATTTCTGCACCAGGCTGTGAAATCTCACTTGCAAGACACTTACAAATCACACAACACTAAAATCATCCTGTTCACAGCTGTGACACCTCAGCTTTGAACCTCTGAGATAACATCTCTTTGTTGGATTCTGCTCATGCCTCTCGGATGGAATGTCTTCAGTAGACCCATCTGCACAGTTAACGCTTGAACCCAGTCACCTTGACTTACCTGGATGACAGTGTTTCCACCCTCCAGCAGAGCGATGGCTAACAGTATGCTCTCCTGGAAAATCCGGTCGCTGGTGGCGTTCATGATTAAGTCAATGACGAGATCAGACGCCCCCTCTTTGTCCAGATGGCACTGCACCTCTGCCAAGCTCAGGTCCCCACGACCTCCGACCCCGGGGCTGACAACTATGGATAGAGACATAAAAATAATCATCAACCACCTTCATACTGATTCATTCAGATTTCAGGCAGCGTGGATAATCGAACATAGGTCACAATGTATTATAATTTTTTAATATTAATTACATAACTGAAGAGTTTGATGGTTTAGGCAGTTTGATTGATGCCTTGATCCAGAACCCAGGACACTGTATTTATGTATTTTTTAGTCATGGCCTACTAATACACTTAATAAATGTATCAACTAAAAATGGCTGATACAGTACATCCCCCACCATCACCCACACGTACAGACAGACAGACAGACAGACAGACAGACAGACAGACAGACAGACAAGAGAAACCAGAAACTGGACAAGATAAGCACATTCTCCAGTGGCCTATTTCAAAATAAATACATAGTCAGCATGGGGTAGAGAAGAGAACAAGTGAAAGTATAAAATAGACTAGAATTAAGAAAATAATTAAAAGAATACAGATAATATTAACATAAAATATACCTTTACTACTGACGGAAATAATATTTGTAAAGAAACAGTCTTTTACTTTATAGATAAAACCCAAAGAAACATGAAACCACCGCATGCAACTCACATAGGTGCAGTGTATGAGTTGCGCTATTTATGTTGCGTTGATGAGGAGACCATGGGATATTTGTGACGCGTGGAAAGAGCCACAGGTGAATTATTTACCCATTCAACGACTGCAAGGAAATAATAAAATGTGTCTTTATTTTTTAGTTCTTAAACTGATGCTGCTTCCACATCCAGCCAGGGAGGCAGTGATGAAATAACAGCACCCATCAGAGCCATCTCTGACTGGACTGAATCAACAACACATCCCATTCTAGACAGAGCTTGGCTCCCTGGTCGCCTGGCAACAACACGGCCTACGTTATGCTGAGGCGAGAGCCAGTGTGCTCAGGAGCACAGCCAAGGTCCAAGGGCTTAAAAGGAGTACAAGGCCATGGCTGTGAATAAGATCTCTTTTTATTTCTCTCTCCTCTGAAGCAGGAGAGATGAACGATGAGTCATATCTGTGATGAGAGACGCACGGCAGCTCGCTGTAATGAACAAATGTCAGTTTCCGACCATCTATTCAATTTGTGAATGTCAGCCGCAACTGAGCAAAGATGGAGTCACCCGGCTGCAGAGACCATTTGATTTTGTATATAGTTAACAGTTCTCTGTACTAATTGACTGCTGTAGAATTGTTGCAGTGAATGTAATGGACAGATGCACAATGAGCACATTGCTGCAGACTAATGTGGTGCGCTCGATGGGCGATGTTGATCCACATGAAAGTTTTGTGTTTACTTATTCACATTGGAAATTCTCAGTGTCACTATGAGTCTTGCTTGTAGCGTGTGTGACTAAACGGAGATGTTTCAAGCACAATTGGAACATTCATATCTCATATTCATATCTGTTAACACTTTTAGGCCAGAAGGTTGTTTTCACCCACTGTTTTATTTGTTTATTTGTTGGAAGGACGACGCAAAAAATTTAAACCAATTTTCACCAAATTTGGTAGAGGGATGAGGTCTGGGCTTCAGAGGAACCTCTTACAGTTTAGTGCAGTTGGGCATGAAGGCACATATTCAGAGTTTTTCATTTTTTAGAACATTATTTTCTTGCAAATAAATCTTTTTTGTTTCATTTCAAATAAATAATTTTGTTTAACAGACCACTTCTCTTTTTTTCTTATATGTTTCATCCAATAGAACTTGACAATCATGTGTAGGATTGTTGGCATGTGCTCTACTGAGTCTCATTCTAGTTCACAAATGAAAAATGAAAAACCTACAGCCACAACAGATCTTTTCAATTAATGTACATCAACTTCTGCTTGTAAATGGTGCTAATTATGTTCAATCTACCCTCAAACTACGTAATGAATATGATAAAATGATAAAGAAAAAGATGCCTTGCATTGGTAAGATCTGTGCTCTATACTGTACTGTTAGAAACTCCATATCCAGACTGACTGATTACATTTACAACCTGACTAAATCATTACAAAAGATTCTCGTGGTTAAGACTTCTTTCACTTTGGTTAAGACAACAGACATAGAACCCTCCTGCACTTTAGACCAGCACAGCCTCACCTCTGTGCCTGTTGTTAGTATTATTATTATTATTATCTACTTATACATATGATCTGCTTTATTTATTATCATATAGTGAATCATGACTACTCTTTACAGAGTTCTAGTCAGGTGTCCAGATAGCACCTTAAAACTCTAAAAAGTTTTATTCCAATTTGTTATATTATTTACTTTTACACTGGACTGTGTTTTTATGTTGTATTTTATGTTGGACAGTTGTTTTGCACCCTGGACTAAGATGAACAACATTCATTCAGCTATATATTTATATGTGGAAGAAGGATAACAAAACATGCCTTGACCATTAGACATTACTATCCAACCCCTTTTATTTAAGCAATGTTCAAAAGGCTTATCTGTTCCTGGGTGCCATGTATCAGCTGACAGCTATGAAAATAACTATATTAATGTTTTATTAATTTCTTTTTGTATACACACAACAAAGATACTGTGCTGTTATACAACACAACACACACACACACACACACACCTGTCGGGGATTTTCCCTGTGCTGCGGAGGCGAGCGGACCGTGGCTGAAGGTTGTGAGGCTTTCTCTCCTCTGGCCGGGTTTGACATTCCCATAGTATCGATTCACCAGGATCTGCCGCAGAGCTTCTCCCTGACAGTGAAACATGGACGTTAGAAGATGAAGTGTTATAGTTACAGCTAAACCATGTCACAGAAACAGAGCTGGAACCCAAAGTCAGTGAAACTGTGCTAAAGCAGCAGCACTACATTGTGGAAATAATGCAAAAGACACAAGAATAGTTCTAAATCTCACATCAGAGTGAACAACATAAGGATGAGGGTAGTTAAGAAACACGCATGCTGTTAAATGTATTTTACCATTACAAAAGAAATGAAAATTGGCCGCTGCAACATGTGCTGACATTCAGTGTCGCACTTAGTTTGATGTAAATTGATGCTGCACAATGACCCCGGTTCTCCCTCTGGACCAAATGTGTCACAAGGTTTCCAAAGACGAGAAGAACACCCAACGCTGATGTTCCTGTCACACGTTACGTTTCAGCTAACTGATATAGGGGAGCGTGTGAGTGAGAAAGTGAGTGACAGCCATGCTGGGGAAGTAGCTTCATGACAGTCAGTCAGCTGTCGACCATCAATAAGATGAAGGCCTGGACCATGAGCACAACCCAAACTCAGTACCTACCCTCCTCTGATCCTCCAGTTGCTTCTGAGGCTGGGTGGGATCAAGCTCCTTAAAAGGTGATGTGAGTTAGCAGAAAGCAAAAAAAAAAAGAAATAAAAAAAAAAAGGCCGAAAAGAAATTAGAAAACAAAATAAGGAGTTAATACAGTGCAAATTAGTGACTTTACTAGCATGCAGGACTCAGGTATAAATCAGATCATGCAGTTAACAGGGGTTGTGTGAGGAAAGACGTGAGGTCATGCAAGGCTTTGTGCAGGGGAGGCCTGATATTCATTCTGAATAAATCCTCATAAACCTTCAGAGTTAACTCTTAAGAAGAAGTTTTGTTTGACAGTTCATGTCTTATCTACATTTTGTGTCAAAACCATTTTTTCTTCAGCTTATGACAACTCTGGTGCTTTTGCTCTGGACAGTGAAATTACCTGACACTGTACTGTTTGGCATGTGGTGACTCCCTCATTACTTTGCATTCACAGCAGCAAAAGTGCTTGAATCATGTACATAAGAGAATGACAAGCTGCTGCCAGAGGGAGAGAAACACAAGCCATGGGAATGAGGAAAAAAAGAGGCTCTACATGTCCAGGTTACATAATGAAGCCACACACACACACACAC